TCCTCCTCCTGCGGAAATCCAACCATCAACCAACCATCTCCTTTGTCTTACTGGCGTTGAGCTGGAGGTGGTTTGTGCCACACCAGTTGACAAAGTCACTGATGACAGTCCTGTATTCCCGCTCATCCCCTGATGATACACATCCGACGATGGCTGTGTCATCTGAGTCAGTTCCCCGAGTGCCTACTTGAGGCAAATAAAATATAAAAATATAATAAAATATCCAAAGAAAACTCCAAACAAATAGATAACGTCACCGACAGCTATTTGGTTCTCAACCTGATTAGTAAACAGATATAGCTACGTGTTATCTCACAGAAACTGCCAAGAGATCATTACCAAGTTGTAAGAGCAGTATTCTTGACCCCAAAAAAGGCCAGTGAAGGATACTGTAAATCAATGACTTCCTGTTGAAAATTAATACACTCAAAACTCAATGAGTACTTGGGTCAGTTTCTCTCATAATTTGCTTATCGGTTTAGCCCTGTCTGTAGAAAACTGTAGTCTATTTGCTTGCCTGTTTTCCCAGCTGTTTACCATCCATTATGGCTCATACACTTACTGTTGTGCTGTATCTTTAATGTCTCCAATTCAGATTGTTGAATCCTTTCACCGTCAGTTTTTATTGCTCTCCCTCAGGTAAACCATGTCTTTTGGTTTAGAAAAAAAGTTTGTGTTGGGCAGTTTGCATTAGAAGACTCTTTTTTTTAAATCCATTTATACAATAATATGCAACAATGGTGGCCAAACAGCCACACCACCTATATTACAATAAAGTAATACAGAAAACCAACATGATGAATAAATCTGTAAATTTAAACTCTTCTTTCTTGCCTCCCTCCCTGCAGCTCTCATGGATACAGGCAGAATATATATCCTCATAGGGCGTCTCAAAGTTAATCAGGAAAATAAATTAAAGTAACATTATACATTATAGATCTGACTGCATTGAGTGCCTCCATCCTAGCCTTAAATTTAACCTGGCCTTTCCAGTCCATCCTCGCCACAGGGAGTTCCAGAGATAAAATCTCTATTAACGCTCAGATCCTTTAATGAATAGAAAGTGTGTGCGGAGCTTTCTAACTAACTGCAAAGGTCTTTTTAGCAGCAGTGCATGCTGATAACCACAGCAGTCTTTGATTAAGATTCTGCCCTCAGTCTTCAGGCAATAGCATAAATTCTGAACGACTGGTGATCTCAAAGGTTAAATAAAAAATATCTAAATCACAGAGTTTTATTCAGCCCACCTGGTCCCACTGAGATCAGAGGTTTTTCTCTTTCCAGAAGAGTCGTATCATGACACATCATCAACATTAACAACAAAAACAACCCGATTTTCACAGTTTAGTATAAAAGGTTCTGAAACCAATTTTTTTTTAAACACAGAAAACTGAATTCATGAGATTTTGCAGAGGATTTGATAACATTTGATCTAAAAAAGGGGTTTCAACTGAAAATCAGTCAGTTACATTGCTCCAGTCAAAAAGTGCAGAAAACCTCCTCCAACGAAAGGTTGAAACTTCCATCTCCCATGATTCAAAGGATCCACTGATTAGTATTTTTAGTGACATAAACATATCAAAGATGTTTTTAGTCATAGTTGAAAAGATGAAGAAAAGTTTTTTTCAGCAGGTCCTTTTTTATGACACATTTGTAAATAAACCATTTTTTTTTAAGTTTAAGTTTCTAAATAAAATCTTTAAAGATGTAATTTTGTGTAATTTATCATCGAAAGTTCAGCTTCAGACTTAGAGGAACTTGGCCTTCCACTGGGACGGCTTGTGCTCAGCTGCATGTAACTTAGCCAGAGGACACTGTCCTCCAGGTTTCCACTGACAACCTCAGTATGTCTGCCTCCTCAGCCAGATCTGCACAGCCTGAACAGTCATACCAGCACCTGCACAGGCATCTTTTTCTTTCTTCAGTGATAAGTGTTTTGAGCCACTTCTTTTTGCTGTCTCTGAACCTTCCTCTTAGCCTCACACAGCTCATCATGCAATGTTTTGATGATTTCATTTGACAGATATTGATATGTGTCTCTGCATGTTCTGTCTTCATGCTGATGTAGTTGTGAGTGAGAGCTGGCCTCAGTCATCAGGGATACCCCTGGTTTACTGATCAGCGCTATCTGCTGCTGTGAACAAAACTTGACATTAAATAAAGTGGATTCTGGGCACAATACAATCCCACAATTTCAGATGTAATTTTTTTCATTTATCAGGGTTAATGCAGTTTTATTCAGATTTTGCAAATGAGAACTTGGAATCCTTCCAATTTAAAGCAGTTTGATTTTCTAATTGAAGTCTGTCAACACTTGCATTAATTTTTTTATTTACCCAGTTTAAGTTTGGTTATCTGAATCCAGTGATAGAAAGCGTGGCATCCATCAAGTGGACACAGAAGTTGAGCAGCTGCGTTTTTTTTTTTTTTTTCATAACCATGAAAAACATTTAAGCAATGAATCTGGAGCTTCCAGCTGTAGTAGCCAGAACATCGAAAACAAAGACATTCTACATTGAGGTACAACAATGTTCTCAAGAGAGCTGGAGGTGCAGTAAACACAGGTAAAGTAGATGTATGGGGGATCATGTCTGGGAACATTGCTGGTGGACTTATCTGGGGACTGGATGATGAAATCCAAAACTGAACTACCCAGTTCAGTTTAGAGATGGAGCTCCAGTCAGATCTCTGAGTTGTGCTCAAATCATCTTCCTGCCTTACCTGAGGTGAAAGCTTCATCATAAAACCATGATATCCAGACTGGAACCCAGGCTGAGAGAACATGTTTTCTGAAGGTTATAAATCAATTTTGAGGGTGAGTGGACAATCAGCCAGTCATTAAACAGCATCTTAAGATCTCTCTGAACAATTCCCTAACCAGCCTCTCCAGAGGACAGAGAGATGTCCAGGCCTGAATGGAGCTGATGTGTGAGCACTGACACCAGGCTGTTCCCCTGTCTGCTGCTGAAGTGTCGGCATGATGAGATGACAGGTAGTCAAAGGGGAGATGCTTGTGATGTGAGCTTCAGCCCTTACTCTGTCTTCTGTGATCTTTTCTGGGCTGAATGAGAGCTGTCAGATCAGTATCACCTGTGAGGTGAGAGAGTACATGAATATGATTGTGTACTGAACCTCGGGGACGTTCAGTTGAAGAATACAGATGGGGCAGAAAGTCTGATGGAGATGGCAGCAGAGCATCATGACAACACTGGTGTCTACGGCATAAAAAAAAAAAAAAAACAAGGGCACAGGGTGATTCCACCTTTATTCCCACTGTAACAAAGCCTTGATGAATCACCATGTCATCTACAAAAAGTCATTATCACATCGATAACCTCAACCACAATTTCTAAGCAAGATGAAAGTTTGCTCACGCAGTAATAAAGAAATAAAGAACAAGAATGAGGCATTATTGTAGTAGGTTAAAAAAAGTGTTTTCACTCTCTTGGAGAGGTTGTTGGTAAGTTTAACAGAAACACCCATCGCAGTTTTACATGACATTCTCCACATCCTGTTTGTATCCATTTCACAACATACTACAGCTCCTACAGCTCCAGTTGATTAAAAGTTTTATTAGCTAGCCAGCTAACATTATACAGCTGATATTGCAATATGGCCTCATTAACAGAAAGCTAACACATTAGCTTGATAAAATGAATGTGTAACTTGTTAAATTCACATTAATCATACTACTTGTGACATTACTCACATCCACTAGATCTTTAAATAAAAGCCGGTATACAATCTGCAACCAGATTACTTATAAAGACCGGAATCATAGGCGATAACACACTACGATCCATACATTCTGTACAACTATCCACTTATAGTGTATGAGGGTCCTGAGCATTTTATTGTGATGTAAAATCATGACAGGTGTGACAGATTTTACAGTTTACATCCATCTGCTTTCCTGAAGTGAGAAAACCTTGTCTTTTTTTAATGAATAAGTACTCTGTCATGCATAACCACTGCAACCAAGAGTCTGGTGTTCACCCAAGTGGACTTTAATGAGGACACCATTGTGAAACTCCAGCCAGAGCATAAACTTTTCAACATGAACACACCTGAGCACCACCAGTCAGATTTTAGCAACAACACCGATGTACAGCAGTCTACAGAAACCTCTGAAGAAACATGAGTCGAAAACAAAAACATTAACCAGACAATAAAGTCTGTTACAGCACAGTCAGTATATGTGTTGTTTTATTCACAGACTAGAACCAGTCTGATTTCAGTTCTGATATTCATAGTCAATAAATAAAGCAATGTCAATGTTCTGTCCTCAGGTTAAAAGTAAAAGAAAAGGAAATATGTATTCAAATTGTTTTTGGTACAAATGATTCTTTGATAACATTCTGTTAATGGCAAAAGAAAAGAGATGAGTATTTTGTACTGTAAAGGTGAGCCTTTATTTTGGCATGAGTTTTTGTTTACATCTGAGCGATCCCATGAGCCTCCGGTCCATGATGAACTTACCAGAACGTAAGATGCACGTTAGTTGCTGTTTGTAATGAGTTCCAGTCGGATGTTTCTTTCCCGAGTCTTGTTTCGCTCACACACCCATGGCAGCAATGTCTGTAAGTTATAATGATATGCATTTTGTACTTGTATGAAGTTAAGCTTTATGAGCATAGTTGGTAACGTTTACTCGAATGTGTATTAGTGACCACGTTACTTTGCTAACGTTCGTTTCCTTGCTAATAAGCTAAGCGATACTTGCTAGTCACTTTAGTTATAGGCTAACTTGACTGTTGCTTGTGTAATACGGTAATGTCAGGCTCCTAAGTTTCGTCTGTATTTTGTTTATTTCAGTTTTACACGATTTTCACCTGCTATACTGGAAAATAAAGGAGCAAGGCGCTCGCTTCCTGGCTCGTAGAAAACGAGTTTGGCTTGCTGTGGAGTCTGTGTTCACGCACGTAGCTTACACACAGATAGGAACAGTACAGTAAAAAGACAACCAGCGTGGGTGCAACGGATAGCACAAGAACTCCAGCATGGCGTCAGAATCCAAAACCACAGATGAAATGAAGCATGATGCAAGCCCGCCACCACGTTCATCGTCTCCAAAGCCTTCGGTTCACTCAAGAGCCAGCTCAAAACGCTCGTCCTCTTCAAGATCTTCTGTCATGGAGGCTGCCGCCAAAGCAAGGGCTACAGCTGAAGCAGCGCTCACCAAGGCATCTTATGCTAAGCGACAGTTAGAAATGAAAAAGGAGAGAGCTAAGCTAGATTTACAAAAGGCTGCATTAGAAGCAGATTTGGAGGCGTTGGCATATGAAAGGGAAGCAGAGGCAGCGCGGGTCGAAGCTGAAGTCTTAGAAGCAGCTGTAGCTATGGGGAATGACGATGTACAAAGCCTAAGAAGTGTGGTTTCGCCACAAGTGATACGACAGCGCACTGAAGAGTATGTGCTATGCCAGTCACAGGTTAGCGTACAGTCTCCTGCCTTACCGCATCACCATGAAATGCAGCACACGGTGAACAGTCCTCCATGTCAGTCAGCACCTGGAACTGTAGAGGTAAAGCCCCCACTCATAGACTTCAGACCCTCAGCACATGAGCCCGTACATGCAGCTGAACAATCCCCCGCACCAAGACCGTCACACAGTCCGCACAGACAACATGATCAGCCTCCTCCTCTTCGCCCCGACTCCCCACCCATGATAGACTTCGCCAAGTTCCTAGCGCGCAGAGAATTAGTGACCACTGGCCTTACCAAGTTCGACGACTCACCAGACAACTTCAGAGCATGGCAGTCGTCATTCTTCAATGCAACACAAGGCTTAGGGCTCTCCTATAGTGAAGAGTTAGACCTCCTCATGAAGTGGCTGGGTAAAGAGTCATCAGAGCATGTGAAAAGGATTCGCGCTGTTCATGTCACTAACCCCAGGGCTGCCCTCCATCTGTCCTGGCAGAGACTGCAGGAATGCTACGGCACGCCAGAGATGGTAGAGAACGCCCTGTTCAAAAGACTAGATAGCTTTCCCCGTCTGTCTGCCAAAGACAATGTGAAACTGAGAGAGCTCAGTGATCTCCTTATGGAGCTGCTGGCAGCTAAGGACGACGGTTACCTCCCCGGGCTGGCCTACCTCGATACTCCTCGTGGGATAAAGCCCATAGTCGAGAAGTTGCCCCCTGGCCTGCAGGAAAAATGGCTCAACACGGGCTCCCGCTTCAAGGAGCAGCACAGAGTAACTTTTCCTCCCTTTTCGTTCTTCGTGGACTTCATCAACATCCAGGCTAAAGCCCGCAATGACCCAAGTTTCGCCCTGTCAAGCAACAGCCAGGCATACAGCAAAGGTGAGAGAACTCCATTAAAGCAAAGTGGTTTCAAGACTGCTGTATCTGTACACAAGACAGACGTGTCTGCCACCATTGACGCAGACACCACAAGCGCCACAGACATTGAAAAGAAAGACATTGATCCAGCTCGATATTGCCCTGTGCACAAGAAAACACATCCATTAGAAAAATGTAGGTCATTCAGAATGAAAACATTGCAAGAACGCAAAGACATTCTTAAAGAACATAAACGCTGTTATAAATGCTGTGCACCAAACCACCTCGCCAAGGACTGCCAGACGACACTGAAATGCGGTGAGTGTGAGAGCGAAAGACACTGCTCTGCAATGCATCCCGACACCTCTCAGCCACCGCCTCCGTCGTCTGCCCAACCAGGTGCAGAAGCACAGCCAGCCAGTTCTGCCCTGGAAGTGAGATCGCAGTGCACCAAGGTCTGCGGCCTAAGCAGTCTCCCGCGCTCCTGCTCAAAGGTTTGCCTGACACGCGTCTTCCCTCAAGGTCAACCAGAGCTCGGCATCAAGATATATGTCATACTCGACGATCAAAGTAACCGCTCCTTGGCACGCTCTGAATTTTTCCAGCTGTTTGGGGTCAACAGCAGCCTGTCACCATATCTGATGAGAACATGCGCCGGCACGACTGAGATGACCGGAAGAAAAGCAGTTGGCTTTCAAATCGAAGCAGTGAATGGAGGTGTGTGCCTTGATCTCCCACCACTCATTGAGTGCAACGAAATATTGACCAACAAGTCTGAAATCCCGACACCAGAGGTCGCCCTCGCACACCCTCACCTCAGACACATCGCTCCGCACATTCCCAAGCTGGATCCTGATGCCCAGATGATGATCTTGCTAGGGAGAGACATGATACGTGTGCACAAGGTGAGAGAGCAAGTCAACGGGCCCCACGACGCGCCCTTTGCCCAGCGTCTAGATTTAGGCTGGGTGATAATAGGCGAAGTGTGTCTTGACAACGCTCACAAGCCAACCGTGAACACCTTCAGAACCCACATTCTCCAGAATGGACGTCCGTCACTCCTCACTCCTTGCCACAATAGCATCTGCGTGAAAGAGAGACTGAGCTACGGCGGGGAGCACAGGTATGGCCACTCTGCACACATGACAAAGCCTAAGCCAGCCGAAGAACAGCTCGGGCTCACAGTCTTCCAGAGAACAGACAATGACAATAAGAGTGCCATGTCCTTTGAAGATGAACTGTTTTTGAACATTATGGAAAAGGAAGTCCATCAGGATAAAGAGAATAACTGGGTAGCTCCGTTGCCATTCAAGTCTCCTCGTCCGCCGCTCCCCAACAACAGAGAGCAAGCTCTGTCCCGCCTCAGTTCTTTGAGACGCACGCTGAACAAGAATGCTGAGATGAAGCAGCAATTCTCCTCCTTCATGGAAAAGCTGTTCGAGAACAAGCATGCAGAGAGGGCACCGCCCATCCAAGAGAAACAGGAATGCTGGTACCTGCCCATCTTCGGGGTGTACCATCCTCAAAAGCCAGGGCAGATACGAGTCGTGTTTGACTCAAGCGCCCAACAGCATGGTGTCTCCCTCAACTCAGTGCTGCTCACAGGCCCTGACCTAAACAACTCTCTCCTGGGCGTGCTGATACGGTTTAGGAAGGACCTCATAGCAGTCACTGCTGATATCCAACAGATGTTTTATGGATTCCTGGTGCGACACGACCACAGAGACTATCTGCGATTCCTGTGGCATGAAGACAATGACTTCTCAAAGGAAATTCAAGAATATCGCATGCGCGTGCATGTCTTTGGCAATAGCCCGTCCCCGGCGGTTGCCATCTACGGCCTGCGACGAGCTGCTCAGAGAGGTGAGCTTAAGTATGGCGCAGACACTAAGCAGTTTGTTGATAGGCACTTTTACGTGGACGACGGGCTAGTCTCCCTGCCCAAAGAGTCAGCAGCCATTGACCTAATGAAGCGAACATGTGCATCACTCGCAGAGTCCAACTTGAAACTGCACAAAATCGCCTCAAACAGTGTCGCTGTGATGAAAGCCTTCGAGCCTGAAGAACTGGCCACAGGCATCAAAGACTTAGGCCTGGACGATGAGACCCTGCCTGCGCAGAGGAGCTTAGGCCTATGCTGGGACCTCAGCACAGACATGTTCACCTTCAAGGTCGCCGTCGCCGACAAGCCTTACACCCGGCGTGGGGTGCTGTCAGTCATTAACAGCATCTTTGATCCCCTGGGTCTGGCAGCGCCAGTGACCATCAGAGGCAGACTGTTGCTACGAGAGCTGTCCAGCGGAGTTCAGGACTGGGACACTCCTCTGCCTGATGACAAGGTGAGCAGATGGGAAGAGTGGAAAGCCTCACTTGAGAAGCTGAGTAACCTCCATGTCCCTCGCTGTTATGTAAAGATGTCACTCTCAAAAGCCAAATACACAGAACTGTGCCTTTTTTCTGATGCCTCGAACTGGGCTATAGGGGCAGTAGCCTACTTGAGGGCTGTCACTGAAGAGGGCCGTTGTGAGGTCGGATTTGTGCTGGGAAAGGCTAAGCTGTCACCACAGCCTGAACCCACAATTCCACGCCTCGAGCTCTGTGGAGCTGTTCTGGCGACTGAGATGGCAGAGCTGATTTTAGACGAACTGGACTTCAAGCCAGACGCTGTTAAATTCTACTGCGACAGCAAAGTGGTCCTCGGATACATCTGTAATGATTCAAAGCGCTTCTATGTGTACGTGCACAATCGCGTGCATCGTATACGCCAGACAACGTCCCCAGATCAGTGGCATTACGTACCTTCAGCACAGAACCCAGCGGACTTAGCCACCAGATCTGTAGCAGCATCACAGCTCATGGACACGATGTGGTTTAAAGGGCCCGACTTCCTCTACAAGCCTCCGGAGATGGAGAAACGTGAGCACTTCGAGCTGATAGATCCTGAAACAGATGTGGAAGTTAGACCACAAGTGACTGCTCTAGCTACCCACCTTGAAACTAAGAGACTTACCTCTGAGAGATTCCAGCGCTTTTCCACATGGAAGTCTCTGCTGAGAGCCGTTTCCTACTTGAAACATCAGGTGCGTTCGCACAAACCAGACACAACAGATACACCACAGCACACATGCAAAGGCTGGCATCAGTGCAGTGGGCCTCGCACTCCTGAGGAGCGCGCAGCAGCGAAGATGCTCATACTAGAGACTGTTCAGAGAGATGCATATCCAGATGAATACGCTGCTCTTCAGGCAAACATAGAAGTCTCTAGCTCGAGTCAGCTCTTGACCCTTGACCCCTACATGAGTGATGGTCTGCTGCGGGTCGGAGGCCGTCTCAGACATGCTTCTCTTGACACTGAGGTAAAACACCCAATCATCCTCCCTAAGCATAACCATGTAACCAAGCTGCTTGTAGAACACTATCATGCTGAAGTGAAACACCAGGGGCGGCAGTTCACAGAAGGGGCTATCAGAGCAGCTGGACTGTGGATTGTCGGTGGCAAGAGACTGGTGAGTTCTACACTTCATCATTGTGTGACATGCCGTAAGCTCAGAGGGAAGCTGGAAGTACAGAAAATGGCTGACCTCCCTCCAGAGCGGCTCGACACCCCCCACCCTTCACATACGTAGGGCTGGACGTATTTGGACCGTGGGCAGTGATGACCCGACGCACTCGAGGAGGTGCAGCGCAGAGCAAAAGGTGGGCCATTCTGTTCACGTGCATGAACACCAGGGGGGTACACATTGAAGTTATAGAATCAATGGATGCCACAAGCTGTATTAATGCATTGCGAAGATTCTTTGCCATCAGAGGCCCGGCAAAGCAGCTCAGATCAGACAGAGGGACGAACTTCATAGCCGCCAGTGCAGAGCTGGGCATGGACCGTCCTGAGGAAAAGCAGACTGAAATTCTGAGTTATCTCCATAGTAAAGACTGCACATGGGAGTTCAATCCACCACACGCCTCCCACATGGGGGGAGTGTGGGAGCGTATGATTGGGGTCACACGCAGAATTCTAGACTCTATGCTTTTGCAAAACAAGCATACTCACCTGACGCACGAGGTACTGTGTACTTTGATGGCGGAGATATCAGCAATCATCAACGCACGGCCGCTGATTCCCATTTCATCAGACCCCTCCTCTCCCATTCTGCTGTCCCCTGCTATGCTCCTGACCCAAAAGCCAGGCCTACACGCTCCACCTGGAGACTTCACCAGCAAGGATCTCCTGAAAGGTCAGTGGAAACAAGTACAAGCGCTGGCGAATGAGTTTTGGGGCCGTTGGAGAACTGAGTACTTGAGTACTCTCCACTCAAGACGCAAGTGGCACAGAGCTCAGCGCAACCTACAACCTGGAGACATTGTGCTGCTGAAACAGGCTCAAGCACCAAGGAACGAGTGGCCAATGGCTTTGGTCACATCGGCCTCTCCGAGCAGCGATGGACGAGTCCGCAAAGTCGAGGTGCAGACGGCATCTCAGGGCACTTCAAAGACTTACCTGCGGCCCATCTCGGACGTCATCCTTCTTCTTGAAAGAGACTAAAAAGGCACAAACTGAAAAAAAGGGGTTTAAAGTAAATGTGTGTTGAATAAAGAAAAGTTGAGTTGAGTAGTGGCATTAGTTATGCCAGACGGGGAGTGTTCTGTCCTCAGGTTAAAAGTAAAAGAAAAGGAAATATGTATTCAAATTGTTTTTGGTACAAATGATTCTTTGATAACATTCTGTTAATGGCAAAAGAAAAGAGATGAGTATTTTGTACTGTAAAGGTGAGCCTTTATTTTGGCATGAGTTTTTGTTTACATCTGAGCGATCCCATGAGCCTCCGGTCCATGATGAACTTACCAGAACGTAAGATGCACGTTAGTTGCTGTTTGTAATGAGTTCCAGTCGGATGTTTCTTTCCCGAGTCTTGTTTCGCTCACACACCCATGGCAGCAATGTCTGTAAGTTATAATGATATGCATTTTGTACTTGTATGAAGTTAAGCTTTATGAGCATAGTTGGTAACGTTTACTCGAATGTGTATTAGTGACCACGTTACTTTGCTAACGTTCGTTTCCTTGCTAATAAGCTAAGCGATACTTGCTAGTCACTTTAGTTATAGGCTAACTTGACTGTTGCTTGTGTAATACGGTAATGTCAGGCTCCTAAGTTTCGTCTGTATTTTGTTTATTTCAGTTTTACACGATTTTCACCTGCTATACTGGAAAATAAAGGAGCAAGGCGCTCGCTTCCTGGCTCGTAGAAAACGAGTTTGGCTTGCTGTGGAGTCTGTGTTCACGCACGTAGCTTACACACAGATAGGAACAGTACAGTCAACATCATCAACATATTAAAAGACGTATGCATAGAGGAGTTATTTTAGAGGACGAGGAATTGTTGTTTTGATCACTAAAACCCAGACGAGCCATTTTTCTAAATAGAGGCGAACTTCCCATCACTATTCAGTAGTGTTTGTGAGAGCATTTCAGTAGTGTATGTGAGAGCATTTCAGTACTATATGTGAGATTATTTCCGTAGTGTATATGAAGGAATTACAGTATCATGTGTGAGAACATTTTACTTGTAATTTTGTGAGGTTTTTTGACTATAGTGTGTGAATAGGTTTTGTTTTATATGTGCATATGAGAGGTAATCCTGAATAATGTCCCTAACGGCCCCTCAAACTACTCCCTCAGCAGTGAAGTTTATGGAGCAGTAAACTCTTCTGTGCATTGTGAATTACACAATGTCCTTTTGGCTAGATTTAGTGAATCAGACTAACATTTTGAACTTGCATAAGAACAATTTTAATTTTTATAGACATACACCATTTGACAGTATAAATGCCTGCCTCTCATAAAAGCCTGATTCATACTAAGGCCTGGTACCTGAGGCAGTAAAAGCAACAGAAAAGCTTGTTTTTGTTTGTTTTTTAACTGAAAAAAAATATGTTTTACTTCATTTATTGATTTTATTTACTTTATCATACAATGCAATGAGAGGCAGCACATCCTGCTGCTCTGAGATAGAGTGACCCCTGATAATGTACCAGAGTTTAGGGTTATAGAGCTGTCTGATCCTTCTACTGTATATCGTATTTGTTATTGTACAATAGAATTGTCACACTTAAAAATATCTCATGAGAGACAGAGAAAAGACATTCTTTTCTTAATGCTTCCTCTACATTTATATCCATCTATAAAGGCAGCTCAGTCAGTGGAGCGCTCCTTGTTCCTCCTGCAGTGTGAAGTTAATTTTTTTAAACTTAATCCTGATCAGTGTGTAAGAGACTGTGATTATGTCTTCCTTGCTCACTTATTCATTCATGCATATTATGCTCCGTTTGACTGTTATTTCCCCTCCTTTTACCAGGACAGGAGTCATCTTTTTACCTTCTTTTTTCTCATATGTTTTCAGTAAGGGAGATTATTTTTTTGTCGAGTAAACTTGTCTGCCTGACAGTGTTCAGGTCCTGCAGTTTTCTCTGTATCGCTGTGTTAAAGTGGCTCGTGGTTTTAGGGTGAAAAACAAAAAAACATTCATGCATGAGCAAACACGCTGTGCCAAAGTCTACATCTTGCCTCGGGCAAGGAAGGGTACCATGCCAAGGCACAGTACAGAGCACTCACGCTGGCCAAACAAACTAGACTTTAAGGCTCAGTAGAGGTCAAACATATCTATGTTTGGTATGGATTGTTGAGTGAGAGTGCACCCTAAAAATTCTTTTTTAAAGAAGAGTTTGTTGGCAACAAAAGCCAAAAAGCCACAGACACAGACATATAGGAATCCACAGTACAATCCACAAGCAAAATAAAAATTTGCAATAAGAGAAAAACTACTTTAGAATCAGTTATGCAACCAGGTAAGCTTGAAAAAAATCAATATCTGGTAGAATCTGCTTCAAAGTGTTTCATTTCATATTGAAAAACACCAGCTCCTTTAGTTTAAAGTCATTATGCAATAAATTTGAAGCTGGGGGTGCAGCGCTCCTAAGCCCTTTCCTTTTTCTAGTTTCTATTCAAGGATCTGAGATGAAGAGTTGTCGACTGGTGAATGCAAAGAAAGTTTTCAGGCAGAAATTCGCTTTTGGTTGAGTAGTCTGAGCTTGCAGTTCAATTCAGTCCATCCATCTGATGACTGAATCACCGTCTAATGTGGGGATTTAACCACAAACTTGTCTCAGTACAAAAGATGAGTGTGTTGATTCGTTAAACACGCCTCTGAACTTTCCAAAGACATCAAGTTCATCTGAGAACACTGAGTATTTGTGGAGTACAGAGCTCTCCAGTGAATCAATAAGTGCTCTGTAGTTTAACAGCAGCTCTGAGGATGGAGGACTGAAGCTGTTTGTTGAGTGGTTTGAATTCCTAACCACTAATTAGACTCTCCTCACCGTTCAGCTGACAGGTTTAAAGCAGTGTTACACACACTGAATGATAAGCTGCAGCAGTAAGCTGTTACACCTGCAATTATTACATCTATTTATCCTTCTGTTTGCTGCCTTCTTCATTTTACATTCATGTATCCTGGTTAGATTACAGTTAATCACAGGGCTGACACATTTAGACCATCAGACACAACTTCTAGAAATCTGGAGTAACCCAGTAAGCTAAGCATGTATGGCTTTGAGTGTGGAGGGAGGCTGGGGCACCTGAAGCCCCCACAGGAGCTGGGAGACGATACTTTTTCACACAGTCTACTGTTATGCTTCAGCGCAGAACAGTATCAGGCTGGGGAAATGTTTGTTAACAATGATGCAACCTTTTCCTGTACATGCAGTGCAGGAGGGGGAGGAAATCCAAAGTTTATTTGAAGCCTTCACCAGATATATTAAATTGCAGTAATGTTTGTCAACATAAGTCCAGTTATAACAATTACTAAACTAAAAGTGGGGACATTGAATAAGAAGCCTATGAGTACATAAGTGTCTATTAGAGCATTTATTTTTTTATCTACATTTACCATTAACTTAGGATTAGAAGTGACGACTAGGATAAACTTTAAATACATATATACAGTTGAGGCCAAAATTGTTATTAATTGTTTTTATACAGTGTGTAAAGTGTAGGACAACCGTTTGTTTTCACTTAATTGATTGATTGATTACAAGCTGTGAGCACTCAAAAGTGAAAGCACATGATTGCACAACAGTGGTTTTTGTTTTGGCTCAATGGACACATCAATTCTTAAGGGGGCTAATAATTTTGACCCTGGTAGTTTTTGGGTTTTTAAAAAAAAAATTGTGTCTGTGTGCAAAGTAAAATAATGTAAGGATCCAAAATAAAACTAGGATGTTTGGAAAAGCTGTGTAAAAAAAATCATTAATCTGTTGAACAGCACTTCGGAAATTTTGGAAAAAAAACTTCGAATTTCATAGGGGGGCTAATAATTTTGGCCTCAATTGTAACAGTCCAAGTTAAGAACAGTTAAATAACAGCAGTCTTTTGTAACACTTTGTAGACAAACGGCTCTTTTCCCTTGTATGGATTCATATTCCAGAGTTTGGTGCCCCTAAGTCTGATTCAAAATTGACCTCTAGAGCTCAAACATTTCTGAGGGTGAAGAGATGAAATGTGGTGGTGGAGGCAGAGCAGACCTGTGAATTTGATTTTGAGTAAGACTTGTAGTTCTCAGAAATAGTCCTGAAGTATTTTCTGGAGAGTGGAAAGAAAAGCATAAGCCCAAATAAAATTATTCTAGGAAAGATATGGTTACATTTGTATATTTAGAAGGAATAAACGGGCACTTGGTTGTAACAAGGTGACTTATCCTTTTTACAATCCAGGCATACAGTATATGTATGTTTTTTTGCAAACTTAGTCATAGGGCTCTATTTTCGTGCCTGCCGGCGGCGTGGTGGACAGTGGCGCACCCCGCACAGTGGTATTTTTGTCTGGTGGAGCCCGCCGCACAGCCAGTTTGGTATTTTCGTAGACTGAGGTGCGCCAAGCTGGGCGTGGTGGCGCAGTAGGGTGAAGTGTCGACAGAATCAGCTGACACAGTGACATTTTTGTACTCGCTGGGAGCATGGAAAGTGCACTGAAAGCTCGCCGATTCAAACCTGGTCAGCTTCCAGCTGGTCTAGTGGTATTTTAGTAGACCAGCGGCATAGTGCGCATATGTTGTCTTACTACAAGGTAACAGGCCTATTCACTGCCCAGTTGATGGTGCAGCTTTCACAGCTTTATGCCATTATTTTTTTATGCTAGGAAAAGCTAACATAGCTGGACTGTCAGCTCAAACTTTAGTCCAACTTTCCAAAGTGTTACCCCAAATAGTGGTGGCCTTCACATGAGTTTTCCCTGTCGGAAGCTTGTCTTTCTAGATTGCTACAACACCATATGAATGCAGGAAAACACTGGCATTAGTCATCTGCTCTGGGCCAAAGTGCTGGAGGGATGGACAACAAAATGGACACACAAGACTGACTGAAATTGTCATTGTAAATCCCCTCTAGCTATAAAGGAAGAAAATCAATCCAAACATCTGTTCGTCCTTCGTGTGCTGCCTCATCATTCCAGTCAACAAACTGTAGTGCTGAGGCATTAACTGTGCAGCATTTACTGCAGCAATTTACAGCAGCTAAGCGTCAGGCAGTTTCATGGTGTTTGTGACATTTGGACTGTGAGGATGCAGACTAAAGCAGCTCGGGCCTCTGGGCTTTTAGAAACCCAGCACAGACCAACACGATTCATCAGGATTCCTCAGCCACACAAGGCTCTGTTTCATGCTGACACTCTCTTTTTCTCTGCCCCCTCTCTCCATCTCCCTGACACTTCAGACTCTCTGCTGCTTCATCTTTACTAACAAAGTGGCTACCAGTCTGAGAGCCAGTCACCCAGAACTTCAGCCAGCTGCAGAGTGTCATCACTAAATGTACACTGTGTGTCAGGGTGACTGCAGAGAGGAGGACGTGAGGCTCAAAGTGAAGACACACTCTCTGCCTCAGCTGTCAAACTCTTCACAGCACATGTTCACAAAGCTTTTCTATGAGCTGTGCAAAAATATTAAAGCTCTTATAAGATTACAGATAGAGATACTGGAAGGATTTGAAATGAATCTGGACACACTGAACAGATGGGACATCATAATCACCAGTCCACTGTTTGCAACCCCCAAAGCTGTTCTTCAGTCATGTCTCATACAACCAAGAGCAGGCTTTTATTAAGATGCAGCGCAGCTTCCTTACCACTTCCAAGCACATGCTCTGAATTTAGAATAAATTTATGTCTACAAGGCAGACTCTCACATACAGCATCTGATTAAGTTAGTAATGGACCCCTGGGCTACTTTTCTGAAGTGGCCCTTGCCAACAACATCCAAAAGAGGGGGTTTATGAAGTATAAAGTTATACATTTTGATGTTAAGCCTACATGAAATAGGAAAAAACAACACAAACAAAAACATAAGCATGGACTACTAGTGCAGATAAACAAACATGGCAACTGCACAAGCACATGGAATCAGCACCATGGACAGAGGTCATGCTACAAAGATACAGTGTACCAAGAGATTCATATCTTTAATGATGCAAAGAAAGACATTGACCCAAGACAGATTATACATGGGCAAGACTCAGAAGAGACCCAAGTTTAACATGCCTCATCAACTGAATATTCATAAATGAAACATACCTCTAGCAGTGTTGCATGTCATAATGTAATCTTTAACTTCTGAAGGACACGGTGGCCCTCATTTATCAAGATTGTGTTCGGCAGAAAACTTGCGTACACCTTGCGTACAAAAATTTTGACGTGAGGATCGTCATTTATCAGTCTGCACGTGAACGTACGCTGCGACCAAATCTCACGACAGGTCTGACATCGTGTACGCAAGTTTGAGTCGGTGTGGATCTGTGGTGCAGCAAATATCTGTCTCAAAATCATTGATAAACAAACCTCAAACCTGTCATTAAGCACAATCAGCCAGATTTCATTAAAGATTAAGACGTAAATAAGATCAGATTTGCGCAAGATTGATAAATGAGGGCCATAGTGTCCTCAGAGAAAGGTCACATAAATACTTTTCAAAATCTACACAGACAAGCCAAATCAGTTGACAGACTACAAAGCAGTTGTACTACCTTATGCAACCATATGCTCATTTAGAGACATGCAGTCAACCAGGATATTCAGTACTTTGGTCAGCAACCACAAAACAATATCAAGTAAACTGGCGAGCACCATGGGCAGAGACCATGGAAGCGGTCATATTATATGATGCAGTGTAGCAGGAGATTCAGAACCATGGACAGCGGTTTTATTTAATCCAGTTGACTTCCAGATCAAGCACCATGGCAGAGGTAAATATATATGGGTTATATATAACCCATTGTACTGGCAGGTGCAACACTATGGATATAGAATGTGTTATGTTTTGCAGTATACCAACAAATTTCAGCACCATGGACAGCAGTCATGTTATATTAAGCAGTGTATAAGGAGATTTCAGAACCACGGACAGTGGCCATGTTCTCTCAAGCAGCGTATAAGGAGATTTCAGAACCACGGACAGTGGTCCTACTATATCTAGCAGTGTGTAAGCAGATATCAGCACCATGGACAGTGGTCATATTATATTAAGCTGTATACCGGCAGTTACAGCTGCATTGGCAGTGGTCATGTTAAATCATACAATATACCAGCAGATTAACTCCATGGATACCTACCATTTTATATTCTGGAGTTTACTAACAGCTTCACCACCATTGACAGGGGCCGTATTTTGTAATGTAGTATACTAGCAGATTCAGCACTATGGATAAATATTGTGTTATATTATGCAGTGTACTATTAAAATCAGAACCATGGACTTTAACCAGGACATGTTAAAGTGTTTTGAAAGAGATTCATATAAAGGGTGAACATGTTTAACACCAGTTACATTTGTTTTGTTTCCATTTCAACTGATGATGACTTATTTGAAACTCCACGTTATATCACCTTCCAGATGCTAGGTCCTATGAATGAATTGAGATGTCAGTTTTTCCTTTGAAATTTCAAATCCTATCTCTCAAGAAAGCCTAGTCCTGACCAGGTGATGGGTTCAGAGTCAGCTACAATGGCGGTTTAGCCAGGTTAAAAGAGAGCCAGCTTTGTGACACTGAAAACTCAAGGCTTGTGTTCAGCAGTTCCAGCATATCCTCTTAACTTGCTTCACAGTAAACCTCCTCAGGTGGGAGTAAAGCTGGGAAACAAGTAGAATGACCATAGACACAATATTCTGCTGTGGTTGACTGAGTTCTTGATATGTTCAAAAAGATGCACAGTCATAATTTTGACTCTTTCTTAAAACAAAGTTTGTTCTGATGTCCCTTAAAGTCAAGAATTTAATTGAATAAAAGTAATCCTTGTTAGTTTCTTGGTTCAGTCTGTTGGTGGAGGTTTCACAGAGACAGCTTTTTATCTCCAGTGTTGGCTGGGAGAGGACCTGCTCCAGTGGGGCTAAGCTGTAATGAGATCAGCTCTTTCACAGCGTTCTCACTGTCTCAAATAACAGGCAGCACAGCGGGGCCAGAGCCCAGACTGTGGCCTCTGCTCCCCCATATCCTCCCTCCAATGCTCCCTCATATCCTCCTTATTACCACCAATGCCCGGCGCCCAGGAAAGCAGCAGTGCTTTTAAAGTTCAGCACTAAATCACAGCTCTCGGCCTTCAAAGGAGTCCAGTTCTGTACTCAGGTCGCTGGTCCTCCTCCGGCAAAACAGAGGGATGAAGTAATTTCACAGCCAGTGACACAACATGTGTCACAGCGAGCAGGCCGCTGCCCGGGTGTCATTTTCCCTCCTGGCTGCAGCAGAGACCCGCTGCTCGGCTGTCATTCTGGCTTTCATTACGGCTGTTTTTTTGTTCCTGAATGACACGGCTGGCTCTGACACATTACGGCTCGACTTCCACTCCACTCAGCTGTGAAAACAGGAAGCTCGGGGCTTATGTGAGCCTCTATAAAACAAATTGTGCTGTGTTACTGAGCTGTGCTGCTTCACTCTATTTGGGGGTATTTGTGGAACTGCACAGCAGAAAATGATTTTGTGCTTTTTTTTCCTGAAGATTGCTTTGTTTCTTCAAGAAAACTCAGCCCATTGTGCTTGTGTTGAGCTGAAACTTCTGCAGACACAATAAAGAAAAGTTTTGCTGAGTTATAAGCCCAGTCTTTTCTTATGTATAAGGTGTATGGGTGTGTATTTCTACAGTATATATTTGATGGAAGAGTTAATAGGATGATGGCCCAGAAAGCACAAAACACTTCACTGAAAGACAACACATCGCTAAGTCAGTGTTTGTTATGAGATAGTTTTGGTTGAGCAGCTTGTGAACAGTGATTTGAACAAGAAAGCAACAAATCTGGTATTTTCAACAAGCTATCTGGGTTTTAAGTCTGATAATGAACACTTTTCATCAGTCGGTTTCAAAAACAAACTTTAGTTAGCCATGGGTATAGACTGTTGATCCTAAATAGTGAAGCATATGTCGACCAGTTTCACTCCTCCAACTCCACCTTCTTGTGAAGATATGCCACTTTTGGCTTCATAAATCCAACATTGGCTTGGCCTGCATAGAGAAACCAATAGATGACATCATGATGGTTGCCACCACATTTCCCTCAGTCAACTGACCAAACCCTGGAAATCAGAGCAGAAGGCTGTTAAGAGAGGTGGATTCTAAAGGAAAGTGGGTCCAGGTATCTTCTGGATCAGAGTGTTACGCTTCAGGAAAAGGAAAAAAATGGAGGAGCTAGACAGAGCACTTTTTTTCTTCCCTATAAACCTAACCAAACACTGTGTGGAGTAGGTGTGAATGTTGAATTGTCTGTTTTGAGGTAGTAACACAAGAGTTCACACATATTCCTGAGAAGTTTAGCAGGATGTAGTTTCCCATGCCTTCCAAACATAAGCTAAGAACACACAGTCCTCAGATGGAGAAAGTCTTTATCTTTAAGCACACAGACATGATGTGAATCCTCCTCAGCTCAACATTCCTCTGCTCGGCACCGGGCCTGCGTGTGTGTGTTTGTGAGTGTGTGTGTGAGAGTGTGTGTGTGTTTACAAAGAGTTTGCATAAACAGTGTCCGTGTCTGGCAGTGTGTGTCTCTGGGGACGGAGTGTCAGCGGCTGCCCGTCCACATGATTTCTCTCGGGCAGAACCAACCGGGAGCGGACAGAGGAATCAATCACAGCGCAGCACAAACACTGATGCTGATGTTTGCAGATATTTTCCCTCCTTCTTTTTCTCTCTGCTGAGGATTTATTGTAATACACTGTCAACGCCGTTGTTAAAGCCATCCAATAAAGGCATAGAAATGTGAGGGGGGGCATGCATATATATACCTCCCACCTCCTCTGCCTTTATGGCTGTTTCCCCCAGGGGACCTGATGTTTCCTCTAAATAAAGCACCTTGTCCCAGCAGCTGTGCTGTGCTAAATAGAGGCCAGCTTAGAGAGGCGCTTTGTTTTCTGCTGCCAAACACTGTTTAGATGCTAAACGTCTCTGATTAATGAAGTCATTTTTTTCTGGTTGTTGCCATGGCGCTGTGGGAAGCTCTCAGCAATGGATTGAAAAACACTTCATCCTTGACAGAGAGGGGTCAAAATCATTGCAGCCTGTCCTGAGGAGAGATTAAAAAGCTGCTCCTCTCAGATGAGTCCACATAATGTGCATTAGCGGGCTGCTTGGACGCATAAATACTTAAAATAAAATAAAGCTGCTTGGAGGAGATCAATCCATCTCTGTTGCTCTGTCCTTAGCCAAGTCAGAAGAATGAGGCACACAAGTGATGGTCTGCATCCCAACCAACCAACCAAACAGCAGCAAGTTGGAGATACGCACTTAGTGTCACACTCAGCAGCTCCTACAAGTACTGAAAGTTTAGTCAAAGTCTGCCATGGCACTCTGACATTCAGAGTCATTACATTTCCCCCACTGTGGGTCTAATCTATCAGAGAACAAACTATCATTTCCTCCTCTAGACTAGACTGGTAAAAGGGCACAGTGTTAGAGTTTTCATGGAACTTTTATTGGCCAGAAGAAGTCACCTGCAAGATAAAGTGGTTTGTGTGAATAATTCAAGATGAGAGAATATATGTGCAAAGTGGGAATACAACACAGTCTGTGAGAAAGATCAGCAATGTGCAGTTTGAAAGACATTTTCCTGAGACATTTCATCAAAAAGACAGAGAAGTCATGCAGAAACTATTAGATTTAGCAATTGGTATTAGCTAATCTGTTATAATAAACATCAAAATTGGCACTGATTTTTACAATTCGTGCATCTCCACGGACAATGCGAAAGTAAATGGCACACAGTGGGGTTGCGTTAGTTTAGGTTGGGATAAATATTTGTCCAAAAAGGTTCCTTTGGTCTGACTTAATGCATTAATATTTCTTCTATCTAGACTGTGCATTTCCTTTTCTAACTTTGACTGTAAATTTCTGTGGTCCTCCTCAGAAGAGAAAAAATAAAAGAAGATGTAGAGCGTGTACATGTGCAACAAAACAAAAAGCAGACCAGGAAATGTATAAGCAGCTGTCGAAGACCACTGTAAGAGTGAAAATTACATCATGAACAGGAAAAAGGCCTAGATGGTCCTCTCAGAGAGCAACAGATACCAACCAATGGTTTGGAGAAGATCCTTCTTGTGCACTCTGTCAAACACCTGCAACACTGAGTCACATCCTCACCGGCTGTAAAACCAGTCTGTCCCAAGGCCGCTACACCTGGAGACACAACCAGGTCCTAAGACAACTGGCGATCACTCTGGAAGGAAGGAGAACAACCATCAATGCCCTCCCTCCACCAATGCCTAGACGCCCAAACACCACCCCATTTGTAAGAGCAGGACAACCACCGGCAAAACCATCTGCAAGAGTGGAGGCAACCCTCCTAGACTCTGCCCGGGACTGGAGGATGCAGGTTGACCTAGACCAAAAACTCATCTTTCCGCCTGAGATCCTTCCAACTAGCCTCAGGCCGGACCTGGTCTTGTGGTCAACCACCCAGAAGGTTGCGTTCATCATTGAATTAACTGTACCGTGGGAGGCAGCAGTTGGTGAAGCATATGAGCGCAAACGACTGAAGTATGCGGACATAGCAGCCGAGGCAGAGAAGCGCGGCTGGAGGGCCCAGGTGCTTCCGGTGGAGGTTGGGTGCAGAGGCTTCGTTGCAACATCCACAACCAAGCTTCTGAAGAGATTGGGAGTACGAGGACAGGCCTTCCGACGAGCCATCAAATCAATATCAGAGGCTGCCGAACGAAGCAGCAGATGGCTCTGGATCAAGAGAAAGGACTCCACCTGGGCTGCAAAATGACCACCTAGGGGTAAAAGCAGAGGGGGGCACACCTGGGACGCCAGGTGTCGCCGTTGAGCCCCCTGGAGGTGTCGTGGGCCTATCAATGAAACACCAGTGAAGGGGGTGCCCACCTGAAGACCCCAGTGAAGCTTTTACCCCCCCCCCCCCCACTCAATTCCAAGTGCTGATATAAGGGATTGTAATAACTAGTCCTATGAGCTCAACTGATAAGCTGGAGAAATCCAGTGACTGCTGTGAAAGGGCAGCTGACAACTAGGGAAAGACCATGTGACGGCGTGGAAAGACAGCTGACAGGAGGGAAAGACCCCAACGGGGCTGTCACGGACTAGCTATCCGTGATGGCAGGCTCCGTCGCTTGGCAAGTAGACAAAGGCCACCCCCCATTGCTATGAAAAGTTTAAAGAGGAAAACACCCCTAGAGTCTGCGAGAGCGGGGGCGGAAGATGACTCATCGGCTGACAACCCCGTAACTGACCCTGGAATGAACACGACAACGAACCAGATAATCGGCACAGAACAAGCAACAACATCGGCTGAAGGACAAGAGCGCCAAGTATGTAGCTGTGGCTGGTCCAAAGTAACCTCCATCAGAGGCCTAAAAATACACCAAGGCCGGATGAAGTGCGTGAAGAAAACGAGGCCAGGACCTTGCATTGACCAATATCTTCTGAGAGAAAGGTCAAGTCAGGCGAGTGAAGCTCAGCGGCAGGATGTAACCCACAGTCCACTGAGCATCAGTACCCCAGAGGCTGAGAATAATTCAAGCACAACATCAGAGAACTTGGAACCCAGCCACTTGCAACCTGCTTTGGAGAAGAACATGCAAGGCCACAGACCTCATGTGAAGTGGCCAAAGTCCAGCAGCAAGAAAGAGTGGGCTACAATTGATGCAGACCTGATCAAGATCCTGGACGGAGTCAAAGGAACAGTGGAGAAGAAACTGGAGAAAATGGGAGACCTGATCTACTCATATGGAGCAGAAAGATTTGGAGCAAAAGAGACAGGGAAGAAGAATATGCCACCAACAACCCCTCCCAAGTCCAGAAGGCAGAAAGAAATCGAGTGCCTGGTTAAAGAGAGAAGGGAATTGAGGAAACAATGGAAGAGAGCCTCAATGGAGGAAAGAGTGGGCATTGACCTCCTGCAAACAGACCTAAAGGGACGCCTGGGAAGATTGCGGAGAGCTGAAAACCTCAGGACTCGACGCAAGAGGAAGGAAAGGGCGAGAACATCCTTCTACAAGGACCCCTTCAGATTTGTAAAAGGACTCTTCACTAAGGAAAAAAGCGGGTCACTTAAGGTGCCAAAGAGGGAGTTGGAAGATCACCTGAACACCACTCACACAGACAGCCAAAGATTTGAACAAAGGGAGATACCATCAGACATGCCACCAATTCCTCTACCAGAACACCAGCTGGATGACAGTCCTCCAAAGTGGAGCGAGGTCGAGGAAGCAGTGAGGAAGGCAAGGGCAGCTTCAGCTCCAGGACCAAATGGAGTTCCATATCGGCTGTATAAAAACTCCCCAAACATCTTACGCTTCCTGTGGAGGCAAATGAAGGTGATGTGGACGAAGCAAACCATTCCAAAAGCATGGCGTAGAGCTGGAGGAGTGGTAATCCCCAAGGAGAAGGATGCCTCCAACATCGATCAATTCCGGCAAATCAACCTGTTGAACGTGGAAGGGAAGGTCTTTTTTAGCATCGTTGCAAAAAGGATGACAACATACCTGAAGCAAAACAACCTGATTGATACATCTGTGCAGAAAGCTGGAATACCTGGGTTTTCAGGATGCTTGGAACATACAAGCATGATATGGCACCAAATCCAATCTGCCAAAAGGGAAGGAAGGGACCTGCACGTCCTATTTCTGGACCTAGCCAACGCCTTTGGATCCGTCCCTCATTCTCTGATCTGGACAGCTTTCAACTTCTTCCACATCCCAAGTACCATCACAAACCTGGTGAGAAACTACTTCCAAGATCTGCAATTCTGTGTCAAAACAACAGAATATACAACATCATGGCAATCTTTGGAAGTGGGAATAATGGCTGGATGCACTATCTCCCCACTAGCCTTCACCATGGCAATGGAAGTGATAATTCGAGATTCCAAATGGGTTGTGGGTGGAGAACGTCTGAAGTGTGGCCAGCGTCTCCCTCCCATTCGCGCTTACATGGATGACATGACCACCCTGACCTCAACCGTTGCATGCACCAAACATCTGCTAGGAAAGCTTCATGCCAACATCACATGGGCACGGATGAAGTTCAAACCAAGCAAATCCAGGAGCATATCCATCGTCAGGGGGAGACTCACAGACCAGAGGTTCCACATCAAGGACACACCCATCCCATTGGTGTCTGAACTGCCAGTCAAGAGCCTAGGGCGACTATACAACGCACATCTCAAAGACTCGGACCAGAGTGATCAGCTTAGGGAAGAAACCATCAAAGGCCTCGTCAGCATAGACAAGACCTTGCTTCCTGGCAAGTTGAAACTGTGGTGCCTGCAGTTTGGATTGCTCCCCCGCCTGATGTGGCCTCTAACAGTCTATGAGATCCCCATGACCAAAGTCGAGAAGATGGAAAGAACAGTGAGCTCATACATCAAGAAGTGATTGGCCTCCCGCGTTGCCTCAGCAACATCGGCTTGTATGGACATGGTGCCCTGGAACTGCCCATCTCTAGTCTCACAGAGGAGTTTAAGTGCACCAAGGTGAGGCTGAACATGACCCTGACTGAGTCGCAAGAAGAGGTGATCCGTGCAGCTGCTCCCAGACTGGCAACTGGGAGGAAATGGAACCCATCTGAGGCGGTACAGCAAGCCACATCTGTTTTCAGGCATGGAGACATTGTGGGACAGGTGCAGCATGGAAGAGGCGGGTTTGGACTCGGAACAAGTCGACCCACATGGCACAAAGCAACATCAACCCAGAGGAGAAAGCTGGTGGTTGCTCAGGTTCGGCAACAAGAGGAGGCAAACAGATGCGCGACAGCAGTAGCACAGTCCAAACAGGGACAGTGGACCAGCTGGGAAAACCTGGAGCATCGTAAGCTCACATGGAAGGATCTTTGGGAAATGGAAGGAAGCCAAATCAGCTTCATCATCAGAGCCACCTATGATGTTCTTCCCACACCCAAAAACCTAAACCAATGGTTTGGAGAAGATCCTTCTTGTGCACTCTGTCAAACACCTGCAACACTGAGTCACATCCTCACCGGCTGTAAAACCAGTCTGTCCCAAGGCCGCTACACCTGGAGACACAACCAGGTCCTAAGACAACTGGCGATCACTCTGGAAGGAAGGAGAACAACCATCAATGCCCTCCCTCCACCAATGCCTAGACGCCCAAACACCACCCCATTTGTAAGAGCAGGACAACCACCGGCAAAACCATCTGCAAGAGTGGAGGCAACCCTCCTAGACTCTGCCCGGGACTGGAGGATGCAGGTTGACCTAGACCAAAAACTCATCTTTCCGCCTGAGATCCTTCCAACTAGCCTCAGGCCGGACCTGGTCTTGTGGTCAACCACCCAGAAGGTTGCGTTCATCATTGAATTAACTGTACCGTGGGAGGCAGCAGTTGGTGAAGCATATGAGCGCAAACGACTGAAGTATGCGGACATAGCAGCCGAGGCAGAGAAGCGCGGCTGGAGGGCCCAGGTGCTTCCGGTGGAGGTTGGGTGCAGAGGCTTCGTTGCAACATCCACAACCAAGCTTCTGAAGAGATTGGGAGTACGAGGACAGGCCTTCCGACGAGCCATCAAATCAATATCAGAGGCTGCCGAACGAAGCAGCAGATGGCTCTGGATCAAGAGAAAGGACTCCACCTGGGCTGCAAAATGACCACCTAGGGGTAAAAGCAGAGGGGGGCACACCTGGGACGCCAGGTGTCGCCGTTGAGCCCCCTGGAGGTGTCGTGGGCCTATCAATGAAACACCAGTGAAGGGGGGTGCCCACCTGAAGACCCCAGTGAAGCTTTTACCCCCCCCCCCCACCCCACCCCCCCACCCACTCAATTCCAAGTGCTGATATAAGGGATTGTAATAACTAGTCCTATGAGCTCAACCAACGCTGGATAAGAGAGGCAGCGGAGATCAGAGAGTGAACCTAGAGGATGGTCAATCTGGATGAGGGGGCCTACACACTTTCACATACCTGAGATGCTTTCCTGAGACTGTTGGACAACAGGGGTCGTGGTCATCCTGCACTAGTCCAGATACAAAATACATCAACATATAAGAGAAATATAAACCGGTACAGTCTCTCAGTCAGTGCAGTTAAGGAACAGATTAGTACACGCTGTACCACAACAGAAAGGTGCCAAAAAGGTATGTCCATTGTACTGATACCTTTGACAATAGAAACCAGATAACTGCATACCAAACCAAATAGAACCAGACCACTAGGATGTAACTGATCATTACTTCAAACAACATTTTGCACCTTTAATACATCAAACCTGAATAAAACTGAAATTTTCACTTTGTCTTTTTGAAACTACAAAAGACAACAAAAGGAAACATGATACTTGTTTCACTTCTATTTCAGCTGAAAACAAAATGATCTCACACAATCCTCAGAAAAGGAACACAACATATTCGTAGATCTGTTTGCATGTTTAATGACTCTGCAGATTTGACACTGATTAAAACATCCTTCTTCAATTACAACCCAAACAGAGGATCTGGATCTGGATCGTTTTTTTTTCTGTTCTCCTTGCTCCTCATTGGCTTGTTGTGCAGCAGCAGTACCTATGTCGTTAAAATCAACCCTTTAAGAAGGAGCTGAGATCCAGAGCCCACTGCCCTGCCTTCAGGGGCCCGCTCTGTTAGGTCCAACATGCAGAGTGAAGCAGGAAGTGCCCATCCTGCCGATCCTCTCAGGGTTAATTAAAACTCACCCCCCGGCCCAAACTGCACGGCCATAAGTCATGTCACGCTCAGTGAGCCAGTAATGTGAGGAAAGAGAAACAGAAAGCAGAACAGGCAACACGTCTGTAATCTTAATGAAACACGCCCAGCTGTGCCCCCTTTTCTCCTGCAGGAGCCTCTAATGGAGGAACGGGGAGAGAAAGTGCTGCGTCGTACTCCGAGAGGCCAAATCTATAAAAGGAACGGCTGAGTCGTAGATTAAAGCTGGTTACTGAAGCAGTTTAGGTGTAACCCCAACATCCTCCCTCTGCTCGGGATGAACAAGGAGGAGGAGGGTGAGGTTTACAGGAGCAGCAGAGGGGGAGGGGCCTGTAGACAGGTGCCTCCGGGACATTATTCATCGTTCAGTTTAAATCCTCAGCAGGGAGTTGTGATTTACTGTCCCTTCTCATCCTTTCATGGGAGACCGCCCACCCTGTGAAACCATCACTCTGAGGACCTGCAGCTCATTAAACTTACATGTTCAGCTGTGAGGTTAGTTTCCTGCTCTGTGGTCAGCCCTCTGCTCTTAATAATACAGAGGATTTTCACTCTGGATCTGCAGAGAAGGACAAAGACCATGTGTGAAAATTTAATTTGATTTCCAAGCTTGAAGCCAGCAATCTGAGTTTGATCTTATCATTTTTTATAGATAAGGAAGCAATTAACAGGATTATTGAAATCTAATAAAGATGAGTTAAAACATGCAGGTCATCACAGCTGGTGTAGTGTTCCGACTGGGGCAGGTCGAGGTGATGAAGGATGTAGAAATTCTCTTCCTGAGGACTTTTGCCTTCTCCAACAATCCATGCTGACCCCCACAGGTGTGAGTCTGGATCTACATGCAGACCATCTGCATAGTCCTCTCCAAAACGCCCAAACTATGCAACTTTAAAAACATGTGCAAAAGTTCAAAGTAAATGCAAGTAAAATGAAAATGCATTGCGCATTTAAAAAAAAAAAGTGCAAATGATGCTCAGTCAAAAACACTCCGGGCTCTATTTTTGTGTCCGCCGGGGACGCGGAGGAGGGTGGCGGATCCCGTGCAGTGGTATTTTCGTCTGGCAGAGCCTGGCGTACATCCAGTTTGGTATTTTCGTGGACTGAGGCGCACCAAGGTCCGCCAAGCTGGGTGTGGTGGCTGAAAGCTTGCCGATTCAAACCTGGTCAGCTTTCAGCGCAGGCGGAGCACAGCTGGTCTAGTGGTATTTTGGTAGACCGGCGGCGTATCGGCCGATGCCTCACCGGCAGGTTTCCACAGTGTCAGGCACATTTCAGTGCAATAAATAATCATCGACAACTAATAATCTGAGTCAGCACATACATTTAGATCTATAGATATATTCTGATCTATATCTGATCTGATGAGCGCGTTTGGCACGCGTTTGGACACACAACCTGACCGAATCAACACAGCTAAAACCGCATTAAATAAATTAAATATCTAGTAAATAGACACACATGATGAAGTTAACAAGATATGGTAAACTGCTGCTGGTTTTGATTCCAGCCTGTATGTCACTCTCCTACCTCATCCACGGTCCTGTCCTGTCAAAGGCCAAAAGCTTCAAAAATACATTGTTAGGGCTCTATTTTCCTGCCTCACCGGCAGCGTGGTGAAGGCGTGGCGTAAGACAGGTCCGCAGCACTGATAAGGCGCGCCTAAGCACATTTTGGTATTTTGGTGAGCGGCGCAGCTCGGCGTAAGTATTATTTGGTCATGGGTGGAGTCACAATCTTTTAGGTCAGCCAGTGCAGGTGCACAGGTTACTCCTTTTGTTTGGTACAGGCTGAGATGAGCAGTACGCAAAATGTTTTTTGACCGTGAAATGTGAGCTGAATTGAAGCCCTTTTTTGATATTATGTTTTGTTTTTGAATGGTGAGCTCAATGGAATATACATCTGACAAATAAATGGAACAACTGCAGACCTGTGAGTACTGGAATTATTTTATGAATGAAAGTTGACACGCCTCAGGACAGGCTCGTCTCATTCAAGTGGTTTTTAAAACTGTTTAAGGAGAATTTTACCACCACAGTATGGTATATATTGTACCCCATAAGTTACACTGTCCTGATGTAAACTTGCTGCTCCTTTTATCATATTAAACCATGTCATTTTATTCAACAACTTTCACATGACTAGTCAAGTGAAAATTGACTAGTACGCTCTTTTTATTGTAAAATATTCATGTTTATCTTCTCATGTTCATCATCATGTTGTTCATTAAATCTACTAACCTGCTGACCTTGTCCCTTTGACGTTGTGACTTGTTTCCTCTCTAGTGATCAATACAGTAGTATTTAATCTTTTCTCATCTTCAAATACATTTGAGGAACTTTCTTTGGTTGATTATTTGAGCAGTTAGCAGATAAGCCCAGACAAAAAATGATCAATACAGCATCAAAACACCTGTGACAGGGTACAATTTTCTGATAGGAGACATTAAACTTGCTTCACATCAACCAAAATCTTAACTTTTTTAGCTCAGAGGGTCCTGTCTCAAAGGTTGTGATAAGGGTTTAGAAAATAACAACACAGAGAAAAGAGAGGAAGAAGAAATCAGACTGAAATAAGTTGCTAAAGGTGGGCTGACTTAAGGAGAGCCAGACCAGTTTATAAAGGACCGCCACCAAAACCAGCTGTTAAACCGCAGGCTGAAATAAACTTACAAACCATCTTAACCTATGGTAACTCTACCACAGTAACTTTGTGCTTTTCTGTAAAATGTCTAATGGTTTAATTTATTGTTGTTTTTTTCTTTTTCTTTTTTCAAAGTAAAATGTTCTTCATAAAGTGATGATTGTAGAATCAGAAAGTAACTGAGCTTTATGGTGCTTATATGAGTCATTCAGGTTACACAATGTCCTCAAAGACAGAAAAGCAGGCCGGAAAAAAAGCAAAATCGATATATGTCTCTGCAGGGGCTGATGGGGTCAAGGTGTGCACAATAAAAGCAAGATGTAAGTACCAAAGAAATACTTAAAGCAGCTGGACCATGATACACTGATCAGAAAAACTTAAAACACAAGAGTCATTAGTGATGATTTTGGCGATTTTTTTGTCCTTAAAAAGAAAACAGGAGAAGAGAGGCAGGGGAGGCAGAAAGTATTAAGAGGTTTAATATACCGTTTCCTTTAATTTTATGAGACGTTAGATGGTAATAAGCACAAAGAAAATATCAGGAAGCTTCTCATAAAGTCCCAGAGTTAGCTGTACAATCACTGCTGTGTGCCACATAGTGTTTGCTCTAACACGGATGTTCACTGCTGCGCCCTCACACAGAGGATAAACGCTAACAGCATGATGTTTACCACACCATTAAGTTTTAATGGAGAGTGAAGTGCTTAACTTCCAGTTATCCTCACTAAACTTTGGTCTGGATCACTATCACAGAGTCCACAGTTAGCTGCTCTCTGTGTTTATGAAGGCTACAGGAGGCGTTTGATAATGTTTGATGAGCTACAGAGGCTAAGCTAAGTGCTTTTTTGCTCTAAACATGATCCACAGCTGTGCAGAGATTAACTAGCTGGATCCTCCAATCAGAAGCAATGCTGATCCTCAGATACTGGCCATTATCATCATATTCAGGGGCATGCTGAGGCTGTTTGATGGTGAATGAAAAAAAAAAAAGGTCCTCTTTTATGGCATGGGGTATACAGAAAGGTGTGATTAATGAAGATCTGCTTCTGCAGCATTTGGAAAACCATTTTCTAGCTCTTCACTTTTCTGTCCCTCCTTGGCACTCTGTGATCATAGAGTTGTGGCACTAAAGACCTGGGTCACCCTGTCAAAAATAATGGTAAGCCATTCAAAATTTGTTTGGCCCTAATGGTCTGGATTGAAATTTCCACATTGTGGATCATCATTCAAACTTATTTAGGCCTTAATAATGAGAAGGGAGTGGCCACTAAAATATGTTGAGCGTCCAACATGTAAGTCCCTGTATTCTGCTCAGTAAGTTTCCCAAAAGTATATTTACATATATTAATGCAATGTTTTTAACTTTACGCTAAGAAGTCTAATGTGAAATAAATAATAAGATAAAACTGTTTTAACTGATTTGACACTTTAAAGACTAAACTATCAAAAAAGCATCTCACATCTTTTTTATTAATCTGAGGAGTATTCAGGGGAATTTTTACAAATCTTTTAGACTGCAAAGCCACACCGAGGGCACTTTTTATGTTTTGATAATAAAAGTATCCTTAGGGCACCCTGTTAATGTTAAATCAACTGGAAGAGTATCCAGTATGATACCTTTAAGGGATATTCCAGCGTAAAATTAACTTAGGGTCAAACACACCGTAACTCTATGTTAGACACCCCTTGAGAGATTAATGTTGCCAACTGCTTGCTTCTCTAGTTACACCAACGTCGCTCAACTCAGCTCACAATGTGCTCTTCTCTTCTCAGACAGGACACGACCCCTGACCATGTAAAGGTAGAAAACTAGTATTCCACTTTTTAGTTGTGCCATCTGGTGGCAATGATAATTGCAATGTGACAACTTACCCATATGTTTTACAAGAAACAGTTTTAAAAGCCACTTGAATAAGTCACCGAGTGCAGCGGAGTTTTGCAGCTCAATTTATGATCATTACTTCATGGAAATGCAATCAGACATAGACGCTAAGGCAGAAGAACTACCGCGTCTGCAGTACAAAATGATTAATATGGTGAACATTACTTTATGGAAATGATCCGCTGCACTCTGTGATCGACTCGTCAAGGCTCCCCCACTAACAAGCGGCTGCTGGAAGAGAGTGTGTGAGTTGTTTTTAGTCTCTTTGCTAAAGAAATCAAAGCTAAAGCTAAAAAGATGTTTGGTGGCTAGTGCTATGGCTGGGACCCTATATGTACTGTTGATGAAGTTAGGTGATGTTCTGAGCATTATTTGTGGCTATAGAGTGGCGTTTTGGTTGAGGTTTGTGCATGGAGACATAGACCGCTGTGTATTGCTATTGTGTGGTCGTTACTAAAGTTGGTAAAACTGGAGAAGCAAGCGGTCAGCAACATTCGTCTCTCCAGGGGGTGTCTAACTCGGTGTTACGGTGTGTTTGACCATAACTTAAATTAATACAGGAATATCCCTTTAAGGAATAGTTGACTTCTGTCAACACTTCTTAAGTGTTTAGTGCTGTTAAACTGCACCTAAAATGCAAAATCTCACTCTAAATGAGACAGAAAAACTTTGAAAGATTGTTGTAAATCAAGAGTTTGTACTTTTGAATGTATTAAAAACAAGAGATAACTGAAGCATCTGCAGATGTAAAATGATTGTACAGTGGGGTTTTGATTACAGATTTCAAAGTTTATTAATTACTTTTTAATTACCATGAAATATGACATGTCATGTACCTTGGAAATGTTATTTATTCATAGCTTAGTGCTGACATTTCACTGACATATGCAGAAACTGCATTAAGCATTTTTATCTCCCCAACAGGGGATCAGACGGCTGGAAACCCCTCCCCAAGATAGAGACACATGTGACAGGCTTCATCTGTAAATCTATTGGGGACCATGGCATGGTAGCGGTTTAGTTAGCTTGTATTGCTGCTCAATATGTATTTACTGTATGTCAACTGTGATCGCTTGTTAAATATTTCAATGCTAACCTCATGAAGTTATATTAGCACTGACTAGTTTTTATTTTCTGAGTAAATGCTGGTGGTATAAGAGGGATAATGCCCTTCTTTGTGCTCTTTTGTCTGGATTGTATAGACCGTTTAAAGGCCAGAGCAGCTACATCCTTTATATTTTGTAGAGGAACAGCAGTCTGTGCAAATAGCAGCAGTGATTCTGACTCTTCTTCTATCAGACAGCACAAACAGCCAGTTGTCATGCTGGGGGAGAGCAGAGCACTTTCACTGGGAGCTTTATGCTAATGGAGACCTTTAACACAATCCATATTTGGCAAACATTGGAGTCAGAAACAGCAGAGGGAGCCTGTGCCAGCCCCTTATGATCCCACACACTCACACAAATACTGCAAACGCACACAGGACCGTTACTGCCTCACCTTTGGGGACCACAGCTGAAAAAAGAAACTGTAAATTTTGTTAGAAAGCCATGGATTTAAATATAATCCCTCACATCATAGGAGCAGTTTGTGCAGAGTGGGGATTTAAGGTCCCAACACACACACACACACACACACACACACACACACACACACACACACACACACACACACTGTACTGAGTAAACACAAAGGCTAAAGTAGCTGCAGACGCACTCACACAAATGCAGCCTTCATTAGCTAGTCCCCTCAGTGTCCTCTCACTGTTTCTACAACAAATATTTACACGCAATAACATTTGAACACGCTCTGATGACATTCATATCACACCGTGCTGTCAGTCATACTGAGCAGGTTGGGTCCGAACTCCAAAAGAGACAAACATGCTCACTGCTACAAACAAAAACCGAGGCATTCACAGGTACTTAAGGAGGGTTATAACTATGGGACTTCAGACCAGGGTCTCATAGAAAGCAACATATTTCTAAAAGTGTTGTTTTTTTTTACTTCCTGTTTGAATATCACTTCTGCAGATTCTGGAAACATTAGCATGCTCATCACAGGAACACCTCTCTCCTGGTTTCAGTCCTGTCTTTCGAATAGGAAAAAGTCTGTCACCATAGGCAACTCTCATGACCCTCTCAAGCCCCAGTCATGGTGTTCCTCAAGGCTCTGTGCTTGGGACCCTCCTCTTCATTGTCCACATTCAGGACAGATCAACTGCCAACACAGTCTCAACTTCCACTCTTACATGGATGACACACACCTTAGCACTTAACCTAACCAAAACGAATATATGTGTATATCATATTTATTATGTTTTTCTTTTTGACTGCCAGCAAAAATCTTTTAGTATTAATCAAACTATTCTCCATATTTTGTCCAGTGTCATGCTTTTGATTCCATTTCCTGAAAAATAAAGGGTTTTTTTCTTCCATATCACGCAGCTAGCAACAACTTAAACAAGGTCATACAATAAGGTCTTTGTTGATTTGAAGTAACCCCTGTGTCTTTATGGATTTTATGTGTTAGGTTGTGGGGACTTTCTCCGCTGCGGCATGAGGGGAGTTTGATTGTCAAACTTTCAACAGGTTTTACGTTACCTTTCACTTCCAACATTTGCTTCTTGTGAAACTCATACAGCTTGTCAAATGTTGTTTTCTTCACTGTGGAAAATGTCACCATCTCTTCATCCAGATATTTGGTAACAGTGCTTGTTTGGCATCTACTGTATGTCCACTACTTTAAGTGTTAAGTTTTGCAACTCAAGCAAAGTTTTAAGGTACCAGGAACCACTATTTGTGTCTAAGAGTAGCTCAGGTGAGAGATGTCCTGTAAGGTTTTGTCCATGGTTGGATTGTTAGTACCGGGGTATTTCATTGGTACAGTTACTGTGGAATCTGATTACAGGTTTCTATCACTGAAGGATCGCCTGCAGCATGATGGTATTCTCACATCTGCATCTCTGCAAAACCTGCAGATAGACAAAAAAAGACACTGCAAATATCTGCAGTGGGTTCAGTATGGACACGTTTCTTCTTGTAGTTCAGCTCTGAAATAACAAAAGCTTGTAAAGCTGCACAAAGAACAAAGTGTCACAACTAAAGTGATCTTTTTTACGGGGGAAACATTGTGACTAAATTCAATTAATAATCCAAAACAAAAACAGTTTTTCTTCAACTCTCTTCCCTCTCATCTTCACACCAACATGTCTTTGGTTTCTGCATGTGTGTGTTTTTGTGCGTTATACAAAGGAAACAATCATCTCACTCATCTACTGAGTCACTGTTGTACCGACCATCACCGACACAGGACTATGACTGTACAAGCACATCACATAACTCTGTCCTCCTGTCAATACAGGGGCTTGTAGATAGAAACATGTTGTGTGTGTGTGTGTGTGTGTGTGTGTGTGTGTGTGTGTGTGTGTGTGTTAGAAACACCAGAGTGATGACGTTTCTTGTCAAACACACACACCTGCAGCCCTCACCGCTCCTGCGCACAAAGACACACGCAGCCTCTTAAATCATAGTGTCCAGTATGAACTGCTGCACAGACACAGGTGTTTCACACACCTGTTGGTGTGAGTTTATTGTGCTTGTTAGCAGCTGGAGCTGGCATTCAGAAAAAGAAAAAAAAAAAAAAGAGGAAAAAAAAAATTCAGTTTTTCACAAACAAAGCAGACCTCAAATGAGAAGCTTTCCGCAGAGATGTCATCGAGTGAGGCTGCCGGTGGACCAATCAGCTTCTCCAGTGTTTGTGGAGGTTTACGTCAGATGGATAATCTCAGGTGCTGTTTGAAGCCAGACAACCCTGCCTCCAAAGGTGTGTTTAGAAGGTGAAAGAGAAGAAACCACAGGAGCCAGCTCATTAAAGAAGATAACATATTTTAAGTGAGAAAACAAAAAGCTCCATCTTCTGCAGTCTATATAAAGACACATGTTGAGGTTTTTTCAGGTGATGTTTTTTTTTCTGCTGCTTTCAGCTGTACAAAGATAACGGTCCATATGGTGGGAAAAACACCTCCATCATAATTCAGGAAGCAAACAGCAGTCACAGATTTAGCTCGAGTACACTATTATCTAATCAGACCTATGCATCTGTAGGGACAGCTAACAGTTCCCTATGTCAGGTCTGTCATTCTTTTAACTCTTACACCATCTCAGGTCATGGATCAGACTGTTAACAAAGATGTACAGGCATGAACCGTCAGTGCATCTAAAGGGAGGTCTTTTGGTGAGCTCCTTTACTGGCTAAACCAGAAAGCCTCTGAAGGACATTCATCAGACAACCATTTGAAAATGTCCTCTAAGTGGAGTGGTTTTGCAGCCCACTTTCATTCAGGGGTGGAATTGTTGTCATGACAAAACATTGTCATTATCAATGAAAATATTAAGTATGACATTCCTTAAAATTACAACAGTAGCAATTCCAACACCAGTACCAGAGTTTACCATGTTTATATTCTCTGCTCTTGCCCCAAAGTCCCAATGTTGCACACTTCAAGGAAGACTCTCAGCGTGCATTTTTTGTTTCTTTAATCCTGGGTTCACAGGCTGCAGTATACACAAACAGAAATGCATACTTGTTGAGAGCACACTTCTGCACAGCCTTGTATTACAGCACTGAACAAGAATGTAGTTGTATGACACTTTTCTTAACAAGTTGTAGCAACAGGAATTATAACACCTCTACAGTAGAAGCTAGTAAACTACTATTGTGACTCTGGTTCTATATAACTGCACTTTTAAGTAAATAAGCAGATGTTTCAGACACAAAACACTCTCATCTACTGTCACTCCGGTGCAATATCAGACAGAAGTTAGCTTAGACGCAAAGTTAGCATAGCCAATAGCAATTCAACCTCAGTATCAACATACTTTCGGGAAATAAATGGCCAACGTTCCCGCTCTGCTAGTGACACACTGTTTCTACTTTTATATAGCAATCATCAGCCTTACTTTAGTCTGCTTACCTGCAGTATACACAAACAAAAATGCATACTTGCTAAGAGCATTCTTCTGCACAGTCTCGTATTACAGCATTGAACAAGAATGTAGTACCGTTTACCTAAAGCAGAAGAACTTACTCAGTAGTACACTCTATCTTGTGGTGAAAGAAGGTAATCACACCAACTTAGTTAAACATCACTTTCTGTCTGTGTGTCTGTTGTTAGAGTACAATAGATATTTTAACAAAACAGTACATGAATTGCAAGGTATTACAAAAACAGTAATTGAGTTCTTTTACTCCAGAAAAAATTGTAATGTAAATGCAAACCACACTGTGATAAAGCACTATGAAGAAGAGAAGAAGGGGTGCCTTTTTATGAACTGCAGACCTCTGTATTCCCACACCAATGCTTTGCTTTTCATCATCTTCTGCCCTTTGTGGAAGAATACGGCATTACGGTACTTTAAATAATAAAATAACGCAACAGCATTTAGCCGTGGAGCTTTATGTTTGTTTGGGGCGGCAGTAGCTCAGGAGTTAAAGCGGTCGTCCAATAACTGGAAGGTTGGCGGTTCAATTCCCCCCTATCCTGAGTCTGTCCGTTGTGTCCTTGGGCAAGACACTTAACCCACCTTGCTCCCAGTGTGTGTCCTCCACTGGTGTATGATTGTGAGTGTTGTGTGGTGGTGGTCGGAGAGGCCGTACGTGCAAAATGGCAGCCACGTTTCTGTTAGTCTGCCCCAGGACAGCTGTGACTACTAAGGTAGTTTACCACCACCAAAGTGTGACTGTGTGAGCGAATGAATGATGTATCCAATGTAAGGCATTTTGAGGGTCTCTGATAAGGCGCTATATGAAATCTGATGCATTATTATTATTATTATTACGTTTGTCATTACAAAAGTTTTGGATGTGTGCACTTAGGTGAACAGGGAGTGACGTTTTCCTGTCCTCTTCAGTTGGTCCAATAAAAAGAAAAAGATTGAATCACTGTAGCCGGATAAGTTCATGAACATCGCTGGGATTGTGCATGCCCGCCATGTGACAAACAAAAACTTTTTTGCGCTCGAGGACAATAAACTTTTGTATGCAGGAGAGTCACTGAGCAATTACATGCTCGGTCCATTTCTGCATGCACTCTAAACATAGTTTTACTAGGCTGCAAAGTTGCACTCTTGAGCAGGGAGATGCTGCTCCTGAATGATGTGAAAGTGCCCCCAAGTATCATTTATGTGCAAGGACTGCACATTTGCATGCACAGGACTTCCCCGTTCTCTTGAGTGAATCTTACAGCTTCATGCACAACTCTCATTTTGACCCCTTTGTCTCCTAAGTGGCACCATACTGAATGCAAGTTTCATGTTTGGAACAAATCAATGGCTCCACCTCACATGCATCTAAAATGAAAAAATTGTCTTTATCAGACTTATTGTTTCTTCTTGAATAAATGATTTCTTGCTGAAAGGAGGTAGCTGAGCCTTTTTACAATTAAATCTACAGATTTAATTTCTAAAATCTAAGTATGAAACTTACAGGTTTTGTACTGAGAGGTGCATAAAGAATGTTAGATACCAGGTCCTGATTGCAGTTGAACTGTACTAATCATGTTTTCTCTGATATTTGTTTAGTTATATAAGTATGCTTTGAAAGAGTTGCCTTCACCATGGCCGGTCTGTCACAAGTAAAAGTGTTTACAGCACTATGAACCAATGGTGTGTAGATACACAAAGAAAGAAATTCTGGATTGTGAACATTTGTAAAATGTGAGTTTTTATTCTTTCTCTGCTCCATAAGACTTTCAAATCTTCTCATCAGCAAGCCCTTCCCTTTGTAAAGTATGAGCTGGATCGTGTGTCCTCACACCACTTTCAGACTTGGAGTTTAGTGATCTGTAGCATCATGTGTCCTGCAGGAGTCTGCAAGTTTTCACAAACACCCACTTACTGCTTGTCTGTCTGCCTGTCAGCCTTCCTGCAGCTCTGTCTGTGCCTGTCAGCTCTCTGCACAGCCTGTCTCTCTCTGTTATTATGCATTCATGTACTGTCAGTATAGAGGAATATAGGACAAACCCACCACCATAAAACTTGGAGAAACTGGGACTTGAACAGGCTCCTGGCAGAGAAACGAGAAAATCTTGACTTCTGTCGCTGACTTTAAAACAACTGTCTTTGGGCGACTATTTGGAAGTGCTTAGAGTGACACTGTACTCTTTGTAAGCTCAGTTACCTCTTCTTTCTACTGTAAAACTACACTGTCTCACAGTTCTAAGCTTTAAACATCTCACTGTAAAGTTTTTATCATCAGGAAAACTGTGAACCAGGTAACAGCTGCAGACTGTGACTGGCAAAAGATGGAGACCAGGAACCCCTTGATGAATTGAACATACCGTTAGCCTCTGAAACATCTGGAGTTGGTTTCAGTGGTTTTCTTTAACCAGTCTTAAACGTCCCATTTTATACTCCACACCCCTCCCTGTCTCTCTGGAAGAGGGGGTCTTGGCTTGCACTACAGTACCATGCACAGGGTGCTAGTGCTGGTGCTAGCCATACCAGTTTGATCCAGAGTCTGACCCAGAAGGAGAGGCTCCTGAAAAAATTACAACTTTGTCAGTTTGAGTTCAATAAACCCAAAAAGTGTGTTTTGGCAGATATCCAGCTTATCCAAGCATTTTTTCATCTGCACTTTTCAGACTGACACTCTTATTATTTGTTAACAGGCCAGTGGTCCTGCAAAGGTTATATTTATCCTAATGGATATGGATGGAAATATCTGATAACTATACAAAAGGAAACAAGTGCACAAACAAAAGATGAGGAAATTCAAATAATCAATCTTTATTTAAATTCACAGCAAGTGATATCCCGATATTCTTCGCAAAAAAAAAGCTGGTCTAGAACAGACTCTATTTACGAAGACCCTTTGTAAATAGAGTGTAGCTCTTTGCAGCATTAACAAGTTACAATGGAGAGGACAAACTTCCTTTAACAGGCAGAAACCTTGAGCAGCACCAGACATATATAAGACATTCATCTGCCACTACTTCATTGAGTTTAGAGACAGGATAGAGGGAGATTCAGAAAGAGAGATGAACAGAGGTGAGAGTGATGCGTGTAGTTGAAGCAGCAGGAAAGCAGGCAGCTCTACGGCAGCAAAATGTCTGCAGCAGTGATCCAGAGGAACCTATGGCATGATGGAGCTCAGGGACTCCCAGGAAAGGCTGTTGTTAGTGACTTTAATAAGACATGATGATTCAGAGTTAATGGCACAGACAGAAAGAGGATTAAAGAAGGTGGAAAAGGTGCTCAATGTGCTGGTCCCCCAGCAGTCTAACCCTATGGCTAAGAGCTGGTCCAGACCTAAAAACTAAATATTGAAAGATATCGAAGCATAAAAATACAAGCAATGAAAGGTATGACATTAATTGTCATTAAAAAAAAACTATGAAATGCAGAAAATTTGTTCAATTGCATGAATAATTATATTTGTAATCAAATGTTCATAAGCTGGAGGGGTTTGATTTAGACTCCTTAAATTTTAACAACACCCACAATTATTTAACTGTATGGGGTCAGAAAGAGATTTTTTGCTGAGCCAAAGGGTCTGAAAAAACAGACTGAATTCCCATCACTAGCACTAGTAGCTAGTCTACCTGGGAAAGAGGAAGAATCCAAACCCTACTCTGACACAGTAGGATGAGTCATAGACAACTTGAGCATGACCATATACAGCTATGTAGATTTGAAGTAATCCATAGATTATCAGAACAGAACAAGACAAAAAAAACAAGGGCTAAGTATACAAGTTTGTACATGACTGTGGTGTTGAAGAGCCACATGGGTGTGTCCCTCTGTGGTGTTTTTCTTGTCGTAATTCATAAGGGAACTTGGAGGGGGTTGGGACTGGGAAATGACAGACTTAAACAAAACTCAACAGGAAAGATGAAGGTAATGATTTAGACAGGTGCAGTGGTTATCATCATTTAAAGAGGTTGGGAGGGACAAAGGGACACAATAATACAATTTCATAACAAATAAATTAAAATGATAAAGGCCAGTGGGGGGAAATAAACGTGTGAAGATTATCAGAAGTGAGG